TAGCCCTCTCCCACAGAATTTAATCCCCGAAGTACTGGGGCATTCCAAGTAAACTAATTACATCTAAGGGTTTTAATTGGCATAGCACTATTACCGTAATCCGTTACGCTAAATCACAATGAAAAAACAGACGATCACAATTTTATTTAAAAGTACAGTGTATTATAATGTTATATCATAGATAAAACATACAGTCTATGGTTATATTCACATATTATCATGTGTTAAATGTATCATATGTTAGTTGGAGGTAAACAATATCAGTCATGTTTATGTTTCAGTCTTGAGTGGAATGGTAAATAAACTTCTGAGCTTTAAATGTTAAAGCTTCTATAATTTTATTTATATTTTCTAACTAAAACATACAGTAGTAGCCAAAATCGGAAATCTTTGTCACAAGCCATTTAGAAACTAATATAGTTTGGTTTATACTGTATATCCTATTTTGAACTGCTGTCATTGGTGAGCGTAAAAGACGAACAACTGGTCTCAATGACTTGAGGGGAGAAGATATCTGTGCATTTAAACTACGCAAGATCATAAAAATGTATCTTATTTTTGTTAGTTGCATATTTTTACATTAAACATAGAACTATTAATTTAGTAACAATAATGTTTTTTGTAAATTATAAAATGTCTGCTTACGATTAATCGTTATAGTTAATAATCGTAATAGTTTTACCGATTAAACCCAAGTAACCAAAACCGAACAAAACTTGGCCTCCCTGTACTAAGTTACACAAACTTAACAGAAACTACCATTGCACGCACTTAAATAGTGATTGCAAACTTTAAAATCCAGCTTTTATTGAAGTTATACTTTTTATTGTAAAACCAAAACTGACAATTACAAAAAAATATGGAAGGACTAATATTCAAATGTTGGATGTATTAGACCTACCATTCATTAGGTTTAATCATATTTATTTACGATATTGATCCAGCTGTTATTGAAGTTATACTTTTTATTGTAAAACCAAAACTGACAATTACAAAAAATTATGGAAGGACTAATATTCAAATGTTGGGTGTATTAGACCTACCATTCATTAGATTTAATCATATTTATTTACGATATCGATTTTATTATTCTCTGAATGGTAAAATCCCGAATTTAATGTAAATTAACTTAGCCATTTATCAAGAATTACGAATTATGAAGAAATACTGTGTGTTTAAATTGATTTCATTCAAGGACACAGTGAGCCTTTCTGGGGAATTATACCAGTCCCAATGGGCAGAGAAACGGGTTGGCAACACTGACGAATATCTCCTCGGCGGTGATAGTTCCATCAACGCTCGCCAGAGCGTCCTTCGTACGGGGGTGTTTTGCGAAGCGATTTTCATAAACAACCCTCACAAATTACTCAATTTATGAGTTAACTGTTGGTTTTTATGAATTCCTACTTAGCGAGAAATCATCTCAACAAACTAATAAAGGTTTTAAAACGGAAAAACTTTCTAATTTTGTTTTAAAAGTTAAGGATTATGAAGAAGAAGATGACCAATTTTCATTAAGTTTAACCTTGAATAAAATATGTCTCGTAAAACTTAAATACCTAAAAATATATTAATAACCTAGTTTATTTCATGAGAAACATTTTACCGTTTACCGAAAGTCGATAAGTGCTTTAATAAGCTCAGAATTTGAGTAATACGGAGGTGTGTTTTTCGGCCGTTTGGGATAGGTTTAGAGCCCTCTTCATGTCTTATGGTAACCGGTGGGGCACACGGAAGATTTTACAGGTGCCGTTTGACGTCACTAACTGCTGACGTCACTAACTGCTGCGTCTGAAGAAACAGACAATTTTATAATTTTTCTATTAATAAACTGTCATAACCTAACCAAACTAACCAAACGTGCTGATAAAGGAAAAATCGAATGAAGGTTTACTAATCTGAAAAATAGTTTTGTTCATAAAATAAAATTATAAATGCCTAAAATTTAATTTTATAATTTTTTAAATTATAAAATTAAACTGTGGTAACCTAACCAAACCAACCAAACTTGCTGATATGAAAAAAATTGTTGACAAAAAGTTAGTGCTACCGGCGAGATTCGAACCCGGCACGTCCGGATTATCAGCCCGCCACGCTATCCACTACACCACCGAGGCCGATGGCTCAAATCCGTATCGTTGCGGTATTGGTGTTCCCTCAAAGTGACGTCAGCAGTTAGTAACGTCAAACGGCACCTGAGAAATCTTCCGTGTGCCGTTTCGTCATGCGAACACTGATTGTTTTGTTGCAATTTCACGGCACGACCGTACGGTAAGCACAATTTGTTTTTCAGGATTAATTTTGCCAACAGTGTCATTTAGAGGCTCCTGATTGACTAACGAAGTTTTAGTAATAGAAAAATGATTTTTGTTCATAGAATAAAATTATAAATGTCTCAAATTCAATTTTATACTTTTTTATTATGAAATTAAACCGAAATAACCTAACCAAACCAACCAAACGTGCTGACAATGAAAAAATCTAATGAAGGTTTATTAATCGAAAAAATAGTTATGTTCATAAAATAAAATTATAAATGCCTCAAATCCTATTTTATAATATTTTTTATTATAAAATTAAACTATCATAACCCAACCAAACTAACCAGACTTGCTAAAAATGAAAAATCAAATGAAGGTTTAACAGAAAAAAATATTTCTGTTCATAAAATAAAACTATAAATGGGTCAAATTCAATTTCATAATGTTTTAATTATAAAATTAAACCGTCATAACCCAACCAAACCAACCAAACTTGTTGATAATGAAAAAAATCCAATACAAAAAAATAGCGCTACGGGTGGGATACGAACCCGGGTCCTTCTGATCATCAGTCCAGCACTCTATCCACTACACCACCGAGGCCGTTGCCATCAACCGTATCGTTGCGGTAATGATGTTCCCTCAGCCAATCAGAAGCCTCAAAATAATACTGTAGGCAACCATGGTGGAAGGAAAAAACAGGTTTTTTCCTTCCACCATGGTAGGCAACACTAATCCTGAAATAAAAATTCAGCGTACGGCACGATAGGAGAAAGAGGCAACTAACTGTTAAGGTAATGACTGTTTTATTTATGTTTTTAAACGTATATAATGCTAATTATTGCTGAAACTGAAATGGTTAAAATGGTATTATGAAGGTTTCGTCTTTAAAACAAACCTAATCAATAATTTTAGTATTTGAAATGTAGGTTAAAAACCAACATTTATTCAAAATTTGCTCAGGACCTCAAGCGGTCGAGATGACTAAGATTCCCGGGTCTGAAAGGGTATGGTAATGGACTATGTTTTATCATAGATAAAACGTTAGTTAGACTATGGTTTTATCTATGGTAACTTAATACAATTTTGAAACTCGTTTTTCGCGTCTAGTTCATGCCCGGTGGCATTGATCGCTAGTGTCAACAAAATGTTGTTTTGCTTTATTTCAGGGTAAATTTCATGATTTGTGCTTCCCTGTTTGGTTAAATAACTAGGGAACGAGATATTGTTTATGATATAAGATCGTTCAATTTAGTTAAACAAGGAGAAGGTAACTAAGGTAAACGATGGTTTACATTACTTGTATAACAAGAAACAAATTTTAATTGTAAACAAAATACGACTCTACAGAGCACTGGACAGAAATAACAATAAAATTGGCTTCAGCATTCACCTGTTCCATAAGACCACAAGGATGAGAAAATTCACCATGCTAGTACGTTTTATCTATGACGATTCCCATGAAACGTACAATTAAATTGACTATAACTTACCCAATCTTGCTATAAATAGCGAAATTAGGTCGCCGGAATTTTATCCCCCTGGAATTTTACCCCCTGGGCAAAGCTGACGTCACTATGACGTGTTACCTGAGCGCTCAAAAGTTTGTTCGCGGGCGGAATTTTACACCCGCGGATTTAGAAGTCAATGAAAATAAACATAGCATGATTAATTAGATTAGCAATAAAAAACAGAATTCTACCCCCTGTCCATATAACCATAGTGTTTAGACAACTGAAGATGTAAGGGTCGAATTTTTACCCCCGGATTTTTACCCTACAGAAATTATTAAGCATGATTGATTTTCCTATTTCTGTTTTTATTTAATTGTAAACATTTTATTGTTAAGTAGCCAATCTTAATTTATTTGTAAATGAACGTTACTGTTAGAAGATGAGTGAAATGGATAAAGGTCGATTCACACACATCAGTTACGGCACGTCACAGTAAAGTCACTTCAGGCACGTCACAGTTAACAAAAATATTCTTTGATGGATTTTCTATTGCGCTATCTACACTCATCCGTTGCAGTCCCGTCAGTCACTCTGCTGGCATCCGTCAGTCAATTTCAGATTTCTTTCCAACGATACTTTTTGATTGTTCGGACGCCTGACGGAACTGTTTGAGGTTAGAAAATAGTGTTATTGTTATATAAATGGTTGCGTTTGTACTTTGAGTACTGTTTGTAACAATCAACAAGATGGACAATGATAATTTGATAGAATATAGGTTTATAACTTTAAAATTTTGACTATAAATTACTGTGAATTTTAGAGACGGAAGACTGACTGAAACCAACTGACGGACAATTGACTGAGAAATTGCGGATGCAACTGTGACTGGACTGTAACTGGACTGCAACTGGACTGTAACGGAACTGTGACTGGACTGATGTGTGTGAATCGACCTTAATGATTAATATTGTTCGTAACCTCCTGTATATTGTCGGGTCAGGTAAAATCTTGTACGTTACACGTTACGCAAGAGGGTGTTTACATCACTTAGGTAAATTATGCAACTCGCTTCCGCTCGTTGCACAACCTTCACCTGCGTGATGTAAAAACGCTCTTACTACACTTGTAAGGTAAATAGCTATTTAACACTATCAATATACAGGAGGCAACCACATTTAGTGTACCTCGAGGCTGCATGGATTCTTAAAAAGCCATAGCCTAGCCATCGACAAAAAAAATAATCTCATCCTCAATCCTCATCAATATAACCTCAACTTTAACTTCAGTTCACAATCAATCACAATCTTATTATATTAATTTATAATATCAATATCAATCACAATCACTCAATTCTCATTCTCATGTCATTGTCAATACCATGGTAAATTGTCTTTCATTAACTACAAAAACCGTTTAACATAACTAAAATTACTACTCTTTATCACTTTGGTATTATAAGTGTCGCTTTGTAATGTAGGCTATCCAATTTTAAACTAAAAACCGTAAATTAAGTTAAAATAAGTAGGCATATAAAGAACAAATTACACAATGGTGTATTAATGGTAGGAAACTTGTGAATCCTGATAGTTTTTAATAGTAGCCTAAGTTACTTAATTTATATGCCCTAAAACCCACCTTTTGAAACTTGCTGAAACAATAACTTCGTTGTTCATTTTTAAGATGAAAACGAAAACAATAAACAAAGTGAAGATTTCATTTTCTACTGATAGGCCTAGTCAATCCCAACAAGACGATTCAATGTCAATTAATAGTGAATCTTTAGACACTTACAATTCTGATAAAATTGTTGGATCCCGTAAAAGAAAATCGCCTAAGCCTACTGCTCAGGATGACAACGGTGATTTTGAACACTTACAATCCAATAGGAAACGTAAACATAAAAAAGGGGATGGAAATGAGAACAAAAGTGACTTTCAATTAGCTATGGACAAGGCAGTAGACTTCAATGTTGAAAGTTCAAAGCAAGACAATACGCCCAAATCACTCGTAAAGCAAAAGAAAACAAAAAAGAAGAAAAATAAATCCCAGCCAGTTAGCGTACAACCCAACTCTTCTATCTTGGATTATTTAACTAGATGGAAGAACAAAAGAGGTAATTGGAAATTTGAGAAAGTGAAACAGACACGTTTGGTTACCAACATGTTTGAAAATGAAAAGGTATGTTGATTACTGTTTATAACACATTACCAACTACAATCATAAGCCCACTTTTAACATTCCGGGTACTGGTACAGTTTCTGGGTGACACAGTTTCTTAACTGGGCTACTACGCTAATATTGATTGAAACTATCGATTCGATTAGTAGGCCTAAACTTTCATGCGATTTTTTCACCATCAGCAAGTTTGGTTGGTTAGGTTAGGTTATGATAGTTTAATTTTATAATGGATATATTTTAAAAGATGATTAAAAATCATTATTTTCAATTTGATAGTCTCAATCGATATTAGTGTAGCCCAGTTAAGAAACTGTACCCCAGTATCTAATAACGATTGAAACTACCTGTAGGCAGCCTACTACTTGGAGGTCACGAATTGTGGATAAATATAGGCATGATCTGTACAGTGGTGGCGCTTCCTTAACTGCCAAGTGGGCCAGGCCCACCCAAAAAAACAGTAAAGTATATTTTTAAATACTTTAGGTTATTCGGTTAATATTGTTGAATAAACTACAATATAAATTAATGTTGAACTTTTCCTACAATCACGGGAAATTATCCCAAATTTTGCCACCATTGTACAATATGATCACCAATGTGGCTGCGATCACAAAAAATTTTCACGGAATTTGCAGAAGCAGTTGTTACTAACAATAATAATATACTAATTTGCTTTTTTAAGTAGGCCTAGCTAGTTTTGTCCTGGGAATTTTTAACCTGGAAAACCTGGAGTTGTCCTAGAATTTTATTTAGATGGGACACTGGACCCACTGCAGTTACATCTACTTGTGAGGGACAGTCATCGTGTTCCAATTGTGGTTTGTTTTTTTGGTTAGTTTTTGCATCACTTTTGAAAATAATGGCTGCACAACACTAGGCCCTACACGTAATTTTGCAGCTCTGAAGTACAGAAAGTTAGGTACCGTATTGAAAGCACGAGGTGAAGGAGGGAAGGGATAGTCCATCTGCTTGCGGACTCCTGTGGTTGAATGCGTTGTACAAAAAATCTTGTATCCTGTAATAATTCTGGATCTTTTACTATCAAAATCATGGCAAGAACTGAATTTTTTAATAATAACTCACAATTCTGAAGATTGCATTACCGTTGAAGTCGGCCTAACCCCATTTGAACCACGAACACAAACACACTTCACAATAACATTACCAACACACCTTCAAACCTATGATCACTAGAATTGTAATATGGATACTCTAATAAATCTGTACGAAAAATATTACAAAACTAACTAAAGGTGTTAACTTATTATTTCATAAAATATTACAACTACAACCTGTTTGCTGGATGGTGTACAACATACACGGCAAGATGTTAACAAAGCTACACTAGCGCTCAGCACTCCCAGCGAGAATATTGAGAATCAACGTTCAATGGGCCAGCCCAAATTGGCCCATCATTCTCCATATATCAATGCATTGTTCCCTGATAGTCAAGCGCCGCCGGCTGGCGTTGCCTTGTCCATTACAATCTTATGGCGGCTAGAAGAGCCCCGAAATCCGTGGCCCCCAATGTCTTACGAGATGATTGCATTGTATTTTAAGAAAAGTTATGACCCGTTAAAAGTTCAACATTAATTTATATTGCAGTTTATTCAACAATATTAACCAGATAACCTATAAAGTATTTAAATTAAACATATACTTTACTGTTTATTTTGGGTGGGCCTGGCCCACCTGGCCGTTATGGAAGCGCCGCCACTGTACAGATCATGCCTATATTTATCCACGATTCGTGACCTCCCTTATACAGGACAACCCCTTGGCCCCAGTCAGTTCATACCCTACTTTTCTTCGTCACCTTATTGTTGCTAATAGGATGATGGTTTTCTCCTAGAATTGTCATGCAATTAAAAAATTTCCATGCGACGGGTATGCATTAGAGTTTAGGCCTAGAGTTCCCTTGCATTAGCACAATCATTGAGTAAATAATTAATTTAATTAGGCTATTTATTTAAAAATTAAAAAAACTTTACACAGGGTGGCTACTGGCTAGTAGGGGTCTGCGGGTCAGACTTTTTTGGTTCGGGTCGGGTCGGGTCGGGCCAATAATTTTGGTCCTCGGGTTTCGGGCCAAAATCGGGTCGGGCCAAAAATTATTAATTACCGGATTTTTTTTTCTTTTTTTAACTCCTATCTGTGTTTATAAAATTACTTGAAAATAACATATGGAAAAATATTGTAGTTATGTATATTATTTCATGTTCATAACTTATTTACAGCTTAGGAGTTGCCTCAACTGCAAGAAAGAAGAAAATAATTTTTTTATCAAGCCATTCTTTCCCATTTTCATAACTGTTGAAATATCTAAACAGCTATATTACAACAAGTTTGTAATGGAACTTAATATAAATGGATCATAAACAAATCAATTAACCTTATCACAAGTTTAGGGCCTGTGGCTTCAAGACTGCAATCAAGAAGAAAATAAAAATTCTATGTTTCCACCATGCAATATGAATCATTCATTCCCTGCCTCCTAACCTCCTCTCACACTTACAATAGCATTATTAGTTACATCATCATAAATAAAGAATTATCTATTATTGGCATTAGTATGCCTACAGCTTTACATAGGAATTATTTTTTATAGGGCCTAAAATAGTAATAGACTAAGCAACATAACAAGTGGAGAACTCATTGAAGAAAAGATATTGTGTAAACTAATTTACTATAAAACTCTAAAACAATAAATAACACACATACATTGTTTATGGTATAGTTATAGTAAAGACTGTAAAAATTGCATATCATGTCATACACAGTTATAGGCACAGTTATAGGTATTGCAAGAGATTAAAATCCTAAAACAACTGATTTTAGCTAATAAATGAAAAGAATTAAAAATCCATAAACTCAAGTCAAACAATGTCACAATTATTAGGTACCCGAAAAGGAACTCTTAATATATAGAAAATTATATTAAATCAAGAGAAAAGAAAGTTAAATGCTAATTTGGCAACATAAGCAGACAGCAGAGACATTATAGTGCCCTAATTAGCAACACAACTCAATGTTTTTATACTGTAAGTCAATGTTTTTGAAACTGTAGGGTCTTTTTCTCGGAAGGAAGGGTAGTAGAATGTAAACAAAAAACCATGAATCACTCTCACAGCCGGGCCCGGGGACACTCAAGGTTACAGACCCTCCCCCTCCCCTCCCCTCCCATCTTACACAACCCGAGCCAGGCCCGGGGACACTCAAGGTCATAGACCCTCCCCCTCCCCCGCCCCTATTACACCACCCGGTTGTTCCAATTGCTGACAAAATACAAGTAACAAAACAAGGAAGTAGAGACAAAAAGATATATTTTCTTTATTCAAAAATATAAAACTGTTACAGATAATTTCCAAAGAAATTAATTCATGGTAGTTTGTGTCTTGTAAATATTGTATTGGATCTTAGAAATATCTTTTTTGAAACTCAATCTAACTTAAGAAAAAAATAATTTTACTGATGAAAACTTTCATAAAATTATAAAATATTTAGGCCTAACCTCTTTGTAGACTTGTTGATACTTGATACTTAAAAAAAAAATTAAATGGTGACCATAAAATGCCGAACCAGACGATCAGAAGTGTTGTTTTGTTTTGTTACTGAATGACAAAAAGGACAATAGGAAAATAAAAGAACAAGATACAGATCTGTACACTATATCAGATATTTCTTTTGTTTATAATTTATTATGTAAATAAAATACTAAAATATAATTTAAACTAGGTATGGAATAAACAATAAATAATTAAACTGGTACCTCTGGATAAATAGTCTTTCTTTTGACTTTGTTTTCTTTGCACTGTTGCATCACGGCTTTTGTTTTGTCAGTAGACGACTAGCTCTGGCTTGGCTAGTGACAGTAAGGCAATAATTGCTCTGTTGTGTCTTTGTTCTTAAACGTGAGCAAACTTAATATTTAATTCTAATTTTAACATTTTAATTCCTCTGTAATAATGTATATAAGAGTGTTTCTTTGAAAATTACTTATTATAACTTTAAAAATAGCCTAATAATTATTTTTTTTGGCCCGACCCGGTCTTGGCCCAAACAAATCTCTGACCCGACCCGGTCTCTCGGGCCTTCCACTGGCCCGACCCGACCCGAAAAAATCGGGGACCCGCAGACCCCTACTGGCTAGTGACCTAGAAAACCTGGAAATGTCAGGGAATATTAAATATCTGGAAAAGTCATGGAAAAGTCAGGGAATTTTGTCATAAGTCAGGGAAAATTTGTAAAAACATTTTCTAATAATTGTTAGGAAAGATCGAGAGTATGTGTGCCGTGTGGGTAAAAACTAAGAAATATATACAAATAAATAAATAAATTTTGTGTTTTTGTACAAATAAAATCTATATATATAATACGTGAAGCCGTTTTTTGTTAACGCAACTCCTCCCTTATTTGTGGACCAATTTCAACGTTTGAAGTGTCAAAAGATTCGTCTCAATATGAAGTTTTGCAATAAGGTTTTATAATTCTAAAATTCCTGCCCTTAAGAGCGTGAGGCCCACTCAAAGGTCGGGTTTTCCCCATAAGAAATACATAGAACAAATTTAAACCCGAAAAAACAGCTGTTTATAAGAAGCTGTAGCTTTTTGGGAGTAAATATTGAAATTGTAATATTAAGTTTAAGACCAAGTTAAACAGTTCAAATCAGTTTTGATGGAAGAACAGAAAATGCCTCAAGTTCAAAGAAGAAATATTGAACACGGTATTAGGACACAATTAATAATGAGATATTTTGTGCGTATGGGGAGAGTAGAAAAAGAGAGACCTGGGGCCCATTTCATAATAAAGTACAAACTAATATTATTAGTAAATCAGCTGATCGCCCAATGCAAATCTAATGGAAATTACAAGTTACAAGTTGTAACTTGTAACTTGTAGTTTATTATTAAATGGGCCCCTGGGGCCCATTTCATAATAAAGTACAAACTAATATTATTAGTAAATCAGCTGATCGCCCAATGCAAATCTTATGGAAATTA